CAATGACACGAACAGCCAGGGCGGCAAAGGCACCTCCAGCCCCATGGATGCCCAGCCACCTGTCCCCAGGGCACTTCCCCTGGCGCCACTGTTGGGGTGTTACGCTGTACCTGCAGCTGCCATCATTGCGGCGGGCAGCAGTTGCCATACTGGCCCCAGGCCCAGGAGTCAAGGGGCAGCTAAGGGCAGCTCCGGACAGCTGCCAGGTCAGCCCCTCTCTGTCCAGCTGGGTGTGTGCAAGTCACGGGTGACCATGACAGGTGTGTGGATATAACATGGGGCACCTGGGGACCCGAGGCGCCAAAAGGGGAAGGAGTAGGCCAGGGACCCTCCGCATGGTCATCAGCTGGCCTCAGGAGTACCAGGGCAGGCCCTTGAGGGAAGAAGGTTCTAGAAGCTTGAGGCCAGAAACCTGGCATGACCACAATGTGGTGGGTTCACACTTTGAGGTGTCCCCACCAGGACATGTGCGCTGCTCCACAGGAGCCCCCGGGAGGCGCTGTGTCTGCAGCACACACTTAGAACTCCCAGTGGGTTCTAGAACATTCCATAGATTGGGCGTGTTGAGACTGCACACCTGTGCTGAGAATGTTCCAGAAAATTTCCCACAGATTTTGGTAGCCCGGGGCTTCCTTGTGTGTGGGAGGGTCCCCACTGGTGCTATGGGGCTGGGAGGAACTGGGATGGAGGGGGCTGGGGACACAGGCGAGTGAAAGTGTACTCTCACGCATGCCAAGGGGCTGCCCACGCAGCCCAGGGCACAGCCGCAGGCCTGACCCCTGCTGGCCTCGTCCCCATCCAGGACTGTGTCCTGGCGGCCAGCAGGTGCGGCTCAGTCCCGAGGAAGGTAGGGTCTCCTGGAGTCGGGGCTCCCACCCCTGCAGGCCTAGCCAGGCCCCTCCCTGCCCGTGGGCTGGCAGCAGGCAGCTGAAAGAGCCCCTTGTTCCTGGCCACACCCGCCCCTTGGGGTCACCCGGGGACAAGCCTGGGCAGCCAGCTCCCTTAAAGGGCCAGCGCCCCAAAGGGAAGGCGGGATGAGAAAAGGGGGTGCCCCTGTGCTGGGGAGGGGTGTTGGGCTGCACCTTGAAATAGCCGCCCCCTCCCGCCTCGCCTCAGTTCCCCCTGTAAGGCTGCAGCTCCCTCATGGCGCAGTGTCCAGCAGCCACAAGGCCTCTGGCAGGCTGCTGGAGGGAATTATAGAGCATCTCCTCCAAGCTGGGCCCGCCAGCGCACATGCATACATAGAGCGCCTGCTGCATACCGGGCCATGTCAGAGGTGGTCATGCCACCGAGCGGCCCTGGGCGGGCTGCTGCCCGATGGACAGGCCCAGTGCTCGGCCGCCTTATGTAAGCGGCTTGTGTAAGGGCGGCCGGGCACTTACATAAGGGAGAGGCGGCGCTCGCGGGGCGAGGAGGGCTTACAGGGGTGCCTGCCTGCACCCCCAGGTCCACTTGGGGCATGGCATGTGTGTGCGGGTGCAAGCTCCCTGTGACCCTCCGAGCTGTGAGCAGGAGGCGCCTGGATCGCTGCCGCTGGGCCTTACTGCCCCGTAGCACGCACATCCTCCAGGCTTGGCCATGGGGATCCTGGGGCACCCCAGGGGTACAGCCTGGGTGGCGACCCACACACACACACACACCGGCCCCGGGTCCTCCACGTGGCGTAGACAACCCCCTCCGAGTCTTTTTTTCCTGCCCAGCATTTAGTATGCGCCTACTGCATGCCAGGCCCCGTCAGGGTGGCAGCTCCGCCCTCCCTGGGCACCCCCGGCTGCGGAGGAGCGCGCGCCGTCCCCGGGGAGGCAGGCCTGGCCCGGGCCGCCTGCCCAGCTCGCTCCCGCCTTCCGGGCTGGCCTCGGAAGGAAGCGGCGGCGGCGGGGAGGGGTGGCCCCCCGCGCCCACCCGCGCCCCGGGCACTTCCGGCGGCCGCGTCCTCCCCCGGGAAGGCGGCGGCGGCGGCCAGGAACCGCGCGCGCCGTGTAAACAAGCGGGTTATTTTAAGCCACCCCTCCCCCGCGGCGGACACGCTCGCGCGGGGCGGGGCGCGCGCCGGGAGGGTTCCCCTTCGTGCTTCCTTCCTCTCCTGTGGCGGGGCGCCCCGAAAGCCCTCGGCGGGGACTCCCGCCCGCCTCCCCCGGGCGCAGCAGGGGCGGCTGGCTGGGTGGGCTCGGCTCCCGGGGCCCCGTGCCAGGCGCTGCTCCCGAGCGCACAAAATGGCCGCCCCGGGGCCCAGAGAAGCATCTGGAACTGGGGGGGGATGGGGGAGGGTGGAGAGGCGGAGAGAGGGAGAGAAGAGGCGAGAAAATGGCCGCCTGGTGGTGATGTCACGGGGGCGGCGTGGCCTCCCCCCGGGGCCGGGCCGGGCCGTGCGTTGTGTGTCCACGCGCCGGCCGGACTCCCCGGCGTGGGCAGCGCGCACGGGACAGGGACCCCGGGGCTGCCCCCCGGGGGCCGGTGTGGGTCGGGGAGCCGAGGAGGCCGCGCTGCGCCCCCGCCCTGGCCCCGGGGCCTGCGCGCCGCCTCGACCCTGGCCCGCTGGCCCGAGTGTCCACGGGCGAGCGAGCGCGCAGGGCCCGGGCCCAGGCCACGGAGCCGCGTGGGAGGGGAGGGACACTCTGACAGTGACTCGGAGCTGCTGGCTGGAGCCCAGGCCGCCCGGGCGGGGAGAGGAGCTGCAGACGGCGGCCTGGGGGCCTGGGAGGCCGAGGCAGCGGTGCACGGAGGGCTACGCGTCCGGGGCTTGTCCATGCAGCCCACCCCACCCGCCCCAGGAGCAGCCCCGGTGGAGGGGTCCCCCGTGGGCACAGGGGCAGGGGCTCGGACAGTTGGAGGACCAAGGCCAAGTGGGCGGGATCCTCTCCGGAAGCTGGCCAGGGCCAGTCCCCCCCCCCCGGTCACGTGGACGCTTGCCACGCCGGCATCCCAGGCGGTACAGCAGTTCGAATCCGAGCTGCTCCATTTCCCCTGCAGCTCTTTGCTCATGACGTAAAAGATAGCGGGGACGCCCCAGGTCGGGCACCCCGTCCCCCCACCGGGGCGACGACTCGGATGGACTCTAGCTTTTGGCCTGGCCTCGACCCAGATGCCCCTGTCTCTGTGCCTTTCCGACACATCAATACATTAAAGAGGCCTGCGACGGCCGGAACCCGAGGGCTTGGCTTTGGCTGGGGCCGGAAGGGGTACGTGGGGAGGGGGGGTCCTGGCCCAGCTGCCGGGGGAACCCTGTGTTTGGAGACCCGTGGTGGACATCCCTGGACTGCCCCCCCCAAGTGCTCGGACCCATCTGCTTCCAGAGCCTTTTCCGGAAGCCATGAGGCTGCAGCTGAGGGCTGGGGCGACATACGGCCCCTCTGTGCTGCGCCCCCATGCTGGTCTCCTTCACCTTGTAACTCTCAAGACGACCCAAAAAAGTAATTTATAAAATCAGCTGCATTCCTGCTGGCTAGCAAGGGCAGTGGGGCCCCAGGTCAGGGTAGGGTCCCCCTCCCCTCCCAGCACACCCCCACAAAGTGGGCTTTTGTTTCTATGTGATGGTCTTATATTTTACTTGAAAATCAGAATCTTCTATCCACTGACTTAGGAGCTTCCATCCTGGTCTCCAGTGTTGGGGGTGGGTGTCCAGGGACCCCCCAAGTGTAGGGGGGGGGCTCTCACAGCACCACCCAGGGCATGCCAGAGCAGGACTTGAACCTTCCCCTGACACCCCACGCGGTCACCACCCAGGAAGTGCAGCTCAGGCTGGGGTGACTGTCCCCCCAGGGCACAGCATAAGAGAGCTGTGAGTATGGGCTCCTAGCTGCAGCGGGCAGAGCTAGGGGGCCAGGGTCCTGCATACGTCACGTTGTAGCAGCAAGGTGACAGTGAGAGCCAGGCAGGCCGGCCAAGCCACACTTGAGTTCCTGTCGGCCGCGGCCCCCTTGGCAGGTACAGGGGTGGGGGTGGAGGGGCAAGCCTGCCTGCTGGACGGGAGCCGTGAGGCCAGGATGACCCAAGGGGATGACTGGGTGCCCATCTGATTCCATGCTGCTCGCTCTGGCTGGCGCAGGCGGGGGCCAGCTGGGCGCCACTGCCTGCCGAGGCCTGGTGGATGCTGGCTTCCCGTGCCCGAGCGGCCGGCTGCCCAGGCTGGGTCCTTCCCCAGTGGGGCAGCCAGCCGTGCCCAGCCTCGAGGCACTCCAAGCAGGACTGGCCAGCTCAAGGGGCCGCTGGCTGCCCTGCCTGGGAGCAGCGACAGGGCTCAGGGCCGAGCCGGGCACGCTCCCCGCGGCCACTGCCCAGGATGCCCCGAGCCCAGTGGGCCACGCTGGACAGCGAGGACTGCCCCTTTGCTCGGGGCATGAGGGCTGGACCTGCACGCCTGGGGACACCAGGACCCGGCCACCATTCTCACCCTCACTTCCCCCCCACCCCACTGTCTCTGAGATGGGATCACGGGGTCAGGTGTTTGGGGCCGGCTCAGGTTCCCACACTGGCTCCCCACTCACCTACCCGGCGGGGGATGGAGTGGGGTGCAGGGTGGCTCAGGCACTTGGGCCCTGCCAGCCACAGGGGAGTCACGGGTGCAGCCCCCCGCTGTTGGCTGCGGCTGGCCCAGCCCCCATGGTTACCAGCGTTTGGGGAGTGACCCAGTGGACGCCCCCGTGACGCTGCACTCACATCAGGTCCCCCCCCAAAACCCCTCGCTGCTGGGTGGGGGAGCGGGGGGGGGTGCTCCCTGGAGGTGGGCCCTGCCCTGCCCCCTGCCCCCGGCCCCAGGCCGCCTAACAAAAAGCGCTGAGCTCAGCGTCTGCTGCCCGGCGCCCGCTTGCAGCCAAGGAGCCCGGTATTTTTAGATAAGATGGGGGTGGGGGCAGGGCGCAGCATCACTTGGGGCTGCTGGCACTGAGGCCCAGGGCCAGGTCCACTGTCCCCCGCCCGCGTCTGTGAGATGGCCCTGTGGCGCCATGGTGCCCTTCCCACCCGGGAGCGGCTGGTCACCCCTGTCTCCCCTTCCCCTGCAGACACAGAGCAGAGTGGCAGCCCCCGGGCAGGCATGGGGACCGACCAGGAGGACAGCAAGCCGGTCACGCTGGGTGAGTCTGAGGGGCGGACCCCACAGCTTAGGAGGAGCAGAGGCGGGGCTGGAGGGGACGGGGCGGGGCCTGGGGGATTGACAGGGCAGGAGTCTGAGGACGGGGCGGGGCCTGAGGGATTGACAGGGCAGGAGTCTGAGGACAGGGGGCGGGGCCTGGGAGATTGACAGGGGGAGGAGCCAGGGAGAGGGACGAGGCGGGATCTGGAGATTGACAGGGGGAGGAGTCTGGGGAGAGGGGCGGGGCCTGGGAGATTGACAGGGGCGGGGCCTGGGAGAGGGACAGGAGGAGGAGCCTTGAGGGGTGGGGCCTGGGAGAGGGACAGGGGCGGGGCCTGGGAGAGGGACAGGTAAGGGATGGAACTTCAGGGCAGGGGGAGGAGCCTCGGGGAGTAGGATGCTGAACCTGGAGACAGGAGCAGCTGACCACGCCTTCCAGGAGGTGGTCTGTGCTGACCAGGGAGTCCCTCTCAGCCACTGCACAAACAGGAAACCCAGAGGGGTGCGGCCAGCAGGAAATGACCACTACCACTTCCTTTGCTGTCCAGGGCGCCATAGGGCTGTGGCCTGAACAGAGCACTGGGCCTGCCCGGGGCCCCAGGCTTGGGTTCCCCTCCTCCCAGCAAGGCGCTGGGCCCACCAGGCCCACAGGTGTGGGTCTCTCGCCTACCCTGAGCAGGGCGCTGGGCCCACCCGGGCCACATGCGTGGGTCCCCCTCCTACCCTGAGCAGGATATTGGCCCTGCAGGGCCACAGATGTGGGTCCTGGCCATTGGTCCCCTGCAGTCCAGGCTGCCCCCAGACCCTGCTGACTGCCAGCCTAATCCTACTGCCCCTGCTGCAGCCCAGGACAGCTCTGGCCCCTGCTGGTCTGACTGACCAAACGAACTGTAGAAGCACAGGGGACACGTGGGCACGAGGGGCTGGAACCATGCAGGTGCACCCTGACAAATGGCATCCCATGCTGACCTGAGGCTCCATTCCAGAACATTCCATCACCTCCTGTGCACACATCCCCTCCCTGTCCCTGGGACTCCCCTGTCAGTGTCCCCTGAGTGGGGTGTCCTCACCTGCCCTACCTCCTCCAGCCTCCAGGCGTGGGGTCCACGCTGCGTCCACTCATTCCTTGCTGGACGTCTGACCTATAGTGTGGCCTGTGTGGTCACCCGTCATTGTTACCAACCCCTCCCATGTGGGGTTGTCACCCTGGCCTGCCTGTGTGGAGGGGCCTGCCCATGCCCTGCCCCATGTCCGGCTGCCTCAGGGCACAGCTGGCCCAGGGCCCTGCTGTCCTGGGGCTGTCCCCCAGAAGGGCCCAAGCGCCCGGCAGCCCCTCACGGGCCCCTCCCTCTCCCCTGCAGACACCACTGACTTCCAGGAGAGTTTCATCACCTCCGGCGTGTTCAGCGTCACTGAGCTCATCCAGGTGTCGCGCAGTGAGTATCAGGGGACCTCCCTGAACGCACAATCCCGTGCTGCACCAGGTCCTGGGGACATACACACACACACACAGCCCGTGCTGCACCAGGTCCTGAGGACACACACACACACACACACACACACACAGCCCCATGCTGCACCGGGTCCTGGACACACACACACACACACACACACACACACACAGCCCCATGCTGCACCGGGTCCTGGGGACACACACACACACACGCACACATACATACAGCCCCATGCTGCACCGGGTCCTGGGGACACACACACACACACACACACAGCCCGTGCTGCACCGGGTCCTGGGGACACACACACACAGCTCCCTCCTGGGTGCGCGCACACACACGCTCCTTGCAGGCACCCCCGCCCCGTCCATCCCTGTGGACCTGCTGGAGACCCCTGCACCCCATTTCCTCCCGCCTTGGGATCTGAATGGCCTCTGCCTGGCCGTGCCCACTGCTCTGCTCACTGCGGGGTCTCTGCGCTTTGGGGGCGCACCCCGGGCTGGCCCTGAGCGCCCCGCTGTCCCTCCCTGCAGCTCCCGTGGTCACCGGGACAGGCCCCAACTTCTCTCTGGGGGAGCTGCAGGGGCACCTGGCCTACGACCTGAACCCGGCCGGCACGGGCGTGCGACGGACGCTCCCCAGCACCTCCTCCAGCGGGTACGTGCCAGCGCCCCGGCACCCCGAGATCGCAGGCCGACAGGCCCGGGGGAGCGAGCTGATCCCGCGTGGACCCCGGCTGTCCTCCCTGGGAACCGGGGGCGGCGGAAACGGCTGTTCCCCGACCTGGCCGGAAGCTCGCCCCACCCCGAGCCGGAAGTTGGCGTCTCCGTGGTAACCGGCCGCCGCTTCCCTCCCCCGCCCCGCCCCCCCCCAGGAGCAAGCGGCACAAATCCGGCTCGATGGAGGACGACGTGGACACGAGCCCCGGCGGCGACTACTACACCTCGCCCAACTCGCCCACGAGTAGCAGCCGCAACTGGACGGAGGACATGGAAGGAGGTGGGGCGGGCGTGCGTCCCCGAGGCCGGAACTACAGGTCCCGGCAGGCCCTGCGCGGGCGCCGGGTGCCTGGAGCGGGTCTGGGGCCGCGAGGCTTCCTGGGAGCTGTGGTTCCCGTGGGCTGAGGCGCCGTGTCCGTGAGGCGGACACTGGGAAGCGGGAGGACGTGTGTGTACCTCACCCAGGGTGTCCGGCGCAGGGGACGTGGAGGAGCTGGCGCGGAACCCTGCGTGCCGCGCACACACCCAGGGAAAGCGCCCCTGGTGTGGCCCTGGGCAGCCCTCCCCGCTCCCTGCCCTGCAGAGTTCCCGCCAGGCTCCTGGGGGGGCCTGGGCTCCCCGGGGTGCCCCGCAGACAGGAAGGGGAGCTGGGAGCTGGATGGCCATGCCCTGTGACCCCATCCTCTAATCCTGAGCCACCAACATTGCCCGGGGGCTGTGAAATGCCTGCTGCAGACACCTGTGGGTGCTGTGGCTCCCACAGAGCCGTCCCCAGGGTGCCCAGGTTGGGGGGTGCTCTACCCCAGGCGGAGCCCCCCACGAGCCCAGCGACTCCTCCCCACTGTGCCGATTTCTGCAGGCCCCATGCCAGCGTAGGGAGATGCATGGGGTGCACACACACACAGAGCCCAGTGCACACAGATACACGGCCCATGTGCACACATGCGCACACGGCCCACGTATACACAGATACACGGCCCATGTGCACACACACACCCACAGCCCAGTGCACACATGCACACACAGCCCACATGCACACAGATACACGACCTATGTGCACACACACCCATATGCACACACATACACACCTATGGCCCATGTACATACACGCCGCCCATGGTCCCAGTACACACCCATGCATGCACAGTGCCCACGTACACACACGATCCACATACATGCACACATACACACATGGCCCGTGCACATGCAGCCAGTGTACACATACGACCCACGTACACACAGCCTGTGTGCAAATGCACACTCCACGTGTACACACACAGCCTACATACACACAGCCCATGCACACACATATGGCCCATGTATGAATGCACAGCCAATGTACACACATATGGCCCATATACACACAGCTCATATGCACACACATGGCTCAGATGCACAAACATAGACCATGTACACACATGGCCCACATGTACAGGCATAGACCGCGTACATACATATGGCCCACATGCACACATACAGCCCATGTACACACAGCCTATATGCACACACATGGCACACATGCACACACACAGACCATGTCCACACATACGGCCCATGTCCACACACACACGGCCCACATGCACACACAGCCACATGCACGTGGGCTGTGTAGGGCCAACCTAGCTTCCATCCCCTTTAGGGCCCCTCAACTCCCTTTCCAAGTCTCTAGGAAACCCCAAGGCTGGCAGACTGGGCAATACCCAATGGCCCCATGCCAGCACAGGGAGATGCCCAGGGGTGAACACACCCATTGCCCTTGTGGTATCTCAGCTTTTAAACCTGGCTGGCACCTGCGCAGGGTGGGGTGTCCTGGGGTAGGTGTACACTGCGACCCCTGCCTGGGGTCGGGGTGGGGGGCAGAAGATCCCACCGCAGCAGGTGCCCCAGGAGGCTGCCTGCCTGGGTAGGGAGTACAGGGGATGGTGTCACACATGGGGACGCTAATGGGAACTTCTGGTGCGCGGTGGGCGGGCCCCAACCCTGGCACCAATCCCCGGGGGTGCTGGGCAGGCCCTGACCCCGGCACCTGCCCCTACACAGGTATCTCTTCGCCGGTGAAGAAGACCGAGATGGACAAGTCGCCCTTTCACAGCCCGTCGCCCCAGGACTCGCCCCGTCTCTCCAGCTTTACGCAGCACCACCGGCCGGTGATCGCGGTGCACAGCGGTGAGGGCTCTGGAGGGGGCACCTGCATGCCAGCCCTGACGGATGGGCGCTCCCTCCCCCACTTTCTCACACTGCTCAGCCCCTGCCTGCGGAGCGGTCACCCGGATGGGAGGTTCCTGTGCCCACCACCCCACCCCACCCCACCCCGGGCACGGGCAGACCCCCCCTGACCGCCTCTCCCTGCCATCCCTGCAGGCATCGCCCGCAGCCCCCACCCGTCCTCGGCCCTGCACTTCCCCACCACATCCATTCTGCCCCAGACGGCCTCCACCTACTTCCCCCACACGGCCATTCGCTACCCGCCTCATCTCAACCCTCAGGACCCGCTCAAAGATCTCGTCTCGCTGGCCTGCGATCCGGCCAGCCAGCAGCCGGGCCCGGTAAGTGCGCGCCGCAGAACCTGCCAGAACAACCTGGGCTTTGCCGTACGTGCAGCCTGTCCACACTGCAAGGCTCACGGGGCCACATGGCAAGGTCACGGAGGGCTACATGGGTTAGGACAGGAGAGGGAGATGGGGTGAGGTGCGATGGGGTCCCTGCTGATTTCTGCTGTGGCCAGTGTCAGGCTGCCCAACCTTGTGGCCCTGCCAGCGCCCTAGTCCCTTACCAGCCACCCCAGATGGGCCTCCTAGCCGTGGCTCTCTGTGTCCCCACAGTGGGGACAGCTCCTGCAGCCTCACACCTCTCCCACCCCTGCTTCCTGGCCGGCCTGGCTGGGTCCTGGGCAGGGGGCTGCGGTGTATACCCCGGTGGACGCGAGACCTGTGCTGGCCCCAGGTTCGGGACAAGGTGCGGGCCGACCTCCATGCCTGACTCCCAGGGGAAACGCTGTGGTGGCCCGTGCCCTGGGGTGGCCACCACATGCTTCAGCTGTGGGTGATTGAGCCGACAGGGCGAGAGCGGGAGAGGGCCCTCCACCGGTCCGGGTGGCTGCGCGGGGCAGGCTGGAACCACGAGCCCCGGCCGGGTCTCCCACCAGGGCCTGGCATCTGTCACTTCCCCCCGGGGGGGAATGCGCAGGGAGTTGGTTGGGACGTGGGGACCTGCGTTCCTGGGACGGCTCCAATCCCAGCGCCCCATGCCCACCCCTGACCCTGGAAGCCCCCCACCTCCACCCCTTCTAGACTTTTCTGTCTGGGTCTCTTACTCCGTCCTGTCAGGACAGACGTCCTGGCCTCCTGTGTGACCTTGGGCATGGGCCTGCCCGTCTGAGCTTGGCCTGACGGGTCCCGACCCTGCGCCTCGCGGGCTTGAATGAGGCGGTGACGGCGTGAGCACGGTAAAGTGGGGAGGCCACCAGGATCCCGGGGAGACGCCGACGCAGGCGGCCAGGGCTCTGCCCAGGCCCTGGGCTACAGTAGGCACTCAATAGCTGCACAGTGAACAGAGACCCCCCCCTCCCGTTAACCGCAGGGTCCCCCCAGTGTGGCTGCCCCACTACTCCCACTCGGGGAGCCACTTGGTGCTGACAAAAAGCAGCGGGCGAGAGTAAAGTGAGAGAGGCCTGGAGACTACACCCCCCCACACGCCCTCTGCAGGAGGAGAATTAATAAATAAATGCCCTCAATAATTGATGCGGGCCCGCGGGTAGCGCGGGCTATGCCACGGCGAGAGGCGAGGCCGGCCGCGGTGAAAGCCGCTGCATAATTCATGGCGGCCAGCTTCCCGGGGAGGGCCGGCTGTGTGACCCTGGGCAGCGCACAGCCTCTCTGGGCCTGGCTGCTAACGGGCTCTCGGTGTCTCTCCTCCCCGCAGCCTACTCTACGCCCGACACGTCCCCTGCAAACCGTTCCTTTGTGGGATTAGCAACAAGGGATTCTGCGGGCGGTGTTCAGGCACAGGTAGGGGCCGAGAGGCCGGCCGCTGGGGGGGCGGGGGGGCAGGGCCCCAGAGCTTGCCGGCCAGAGCCGGGGGCTGCTGAGACCCAGAGAGGCAAGGGCGTCTGCCCAGAGCCACACAGCGTGGCCGCCGGAACCTCCCCCCCACACATACCCTCCTTACCCTGCCAGCAAACCCGGCCCAGACAGCAGGGGCCAGGGGGGCGAGGCCGGGGCTGGGGGCGAGGCCAGGGCTGCACCCCAGCCCAGCCCACCCCCAGCCCCGGCCTCTGGGGGCGTCCCAGGGAGAAGGGGCCCAGCCAGGGCCGGTGGAGCTGCCGTGGCCTCTGCCCCTCCCGCCGGGGGCCGGGAGCTTGCTCCCCTGGGTGCTTCTGTAGGTAAAGTCAAGCTAACAGAAGCCCCCCGGGGCGTTGGCCCGGCCCCTACGCCCCCCTCCCCATGCCCCTTGCAGTGCCCCCCACCCCCCAACCCCGGCCTCAAGTGGGGACCCAGCTTGGACACAGCAGTGGACGTGCAGGGCCGGCCAGGCAGGGGGAGAGGGAGCCCGCCCCCACGGCCGGGGCCTGGGCAGCCACGCCGCGGTAGAGGGAGGGGAGGCCTGCAGAGTGAAGAGCAGGGAGGGAGGAAACCGCCCGCAGGCCCCTCGCTGCCATTCCGCCTCCGTCAGCACTTCCTGCCTCTGACTGTTATTCCTGGCGCCCCGCCCTCTCTCCTTCCTTCTCCCAGCCCCCACCACCGATCAATACTGATTGATTCCACTCCCCCGTGGGGGCGTCTCGCCTGTCTGCGCCCCCCGCCCCACCCTGAGCCCCCCCCCCGACCTGGGCCTGCCACGTGGGCTGCACCCCGCGCCCCGGCCCTGACACCTGCCCGGGTCACGTGCCCAGAGCCCCCCGAGGGCCGGGGGAGCCTGTCCACCGTGGGGGAGGGTCACGCCCAGGGCCTGTCTGGTTGCCAGCGGAAACCAGACATGAGGTAATGGCCAGGACGAACGTGAACTTGGCTGCAGGGTGGGGGCTGGGAGCTCGCACTTCCTCGGCGGGATGGCCGGGGACTTGCCTGGTGGGCGGGAGCGCCCCCCGGACGCCCCGTGCGCCCGGACGCCCCGTGCGTGGTGGGGAGTGTGTGCGCGTAGGGGGCCACATGCCTGTGTCCCACTCCAAGCCCGGGGAGGGAGAGCCACCCGCCGCAGTCTGCTCCGTGCCCAGGTCCGCGCCCGCGTCTCCCCTTCTCTGAAACAGGGTGCCCCCCCTTCTCCTGGGGAGACCAGGGGGTGCGGGCAGGACCCTCGGGGCTGGGGTGGCACCGTGGGCCCGGCAGAACCTCGGCGCTCCTCGTCCCCTTGCAGCCTGGGCGAGGGGTCCACGCAGACGCGTCCGCTGGTCACGGGGTGGGGGCCCCCCAGCACCCCCAGGTTGGGCAGCCTGGTGCAGGAGGCAGAGCCCGGGGCAGGGAGAGGGTGGGGGCGGCCGGGACGGCGCCCGAGCCTGACCACTCTGTCTTTCTCCATCTCTCTCCTCCCTCGGACCCGCGCAGTCCTGGTACCTGGGATAGCGAAGGTCCTCGCCCCCCCACCCAACGCCCCTTGTCATCACCCAAGGAATCCCAGGGGGCACCCCAGCCAGCGCCCCCTCCCCCACGCCACTCTGTCGGTGGAAAACTAGAGCGAGCAAGAAGAGCCCTGTCACCTCCCAGCCCGGCCGAAAAGACAAAACAGCCACACGGACGCAGGAGGAACCGGAGAGATCCCCCGTGGGAGGGGGCGCGGCGCAGACCCCCCACCCCCCGCCGAGAAGGCGGAAGGCGCGGGCGCGGCGCTCGAACTCGGTCCCTCCTGCACCTGCCGCGCCGCGCGCCCCCGCCAGGCCCAGGTGAGCTCCGCCCGGCCGGGCCGCCTCTCCTGGGCCCCCGTGGCGGCTCGCGCGATGGTGCTGGAGGGCAGGGGGTCGGGCAGCCGAGGGGGCCTGGGGAGACCCGATCGCGGGGGTGGGGTGATCCGGCCTGCCCGCTCGCTCTGACCACCTCTCTCTCCTCTCTGCGCTCTCTGTCCCCGGGGACCGAGGCTCTCCATCCTCCCGCCTGCCCTGTTCTATGCAATTGCCACCCCCAGCCGGCATGGGAGGCCCCGCCCGGGGGACCCCCTCCCCTCCCCCGTTGCACACTAAGAAATGCACTTTCCGAGGGAGGGAGGGCGGGGGCTGGGGGAGGGGAGGGGGGGCGGACACCAGAGCGAGCGGTTCAAGTGCCTGACCCCCCCGCCCTTCGTCCAGCCGGGACACCGAGTGGCCGCGGGGCGTCCTCCCCCACCCCGCCCACCTCGCCCCCCACCCCGTCCCCTCCACTCATTGCTGCCGCCCCCTCAGAGCTCGAGCTGGGAGCCCAGGGGGGCGCGGGGCACCCGGCCCGCAATGCTGGGGCGCGGGGGTGGGACGTGGGGGGAGCCGGCGGGCACCCCCGTGCGCCTCCTCCGCCAGTGCCTTACAACCCAGAGCGACCCCTCCCAGGAGCCCCCGCCCCGCCGGGGGCCGCCCGTTTGCACTTTCATCCCCCCCACCCCACCCACCCACCAATGCCGGGGTGCAGCTGGGGGTGGGGGGTCCCCAGAAGGAGAGAGAGAAGGCCGGAGGGCGCAGAGCCGGAGCGCGCGGCAGGGGCGCCAGCATCTTCCCTTTGAGCCGCCCCAGAACACTAAGCCGGGGGGGCGCCGGCTGCCCCCAACCCCTCCCCGTGCCCGCCCCCACTGACTCCCTTCAGCCCGGTGCGCGGAGTGCACCCCAACACTCCCGCGCCCCGCTGCTCCCCCACCTAGGCCAAAGTCATGGTCAGGGGCGCCCCCCGCCCCTCCGGCGGGCGGTGCGGTCCATCCGTCCTCCGGGCAGCGCGGGCCTGTCCCCCCAAAAAACATGCATGGTGCTTAGAGCGGGAGAACCGCGGCCGCCGCGTGCATGGCAGACCCTGCCCGCCCCCCGCCCCCCAAAAGACAAAAACTTAGGAAAAAAAAAAAAAGATAAAAAAAAATCCAGAAAAGCTTAAAAAAAAAAAAAAGCTCCATGTTTCCTAATTTGCACGAAGTTTTATACCACATGACGTGCCTTGCCTTGGAGAATAGTATTCCAATATCAGCGCACAGGAGCTGCATGCCTGCTTGTAGTTAACCAACGCCGAGAGGCGACCGCCGGGGAGGGAGGTGTTTTTAAGTAAAGCAGAGAGAAACCTTTTTTGTTTTTTTTTTTTTTAAGAAAAAAAAAAAAAAGAAAAAAACGGAAAACTGTGCTGGAAGCGAAGTCCCCCCCCCTCCCCGTCCGCCCCGTCGTCCCCACGTGCCCATCCGGCGCTGTGGGGCCCTGGTGCTCCCGCGCCCCCAGCCCACCGACCTCAGGGGCCAGTCGCACCCAGGCAGCCCCTGCCCCGGGGCTGGGGAGTCCCCCCCCCCCAGGCTGCAGCCCCGGCCCCATCCCACGCCAGGCCCTGCGCCCCCTCCGCGCTCCTCCGGCCTTCCCAGGGGCTCTGGGGGGGCAAGGGGGTCACATATGCAATAGCGTCTGTCCCCGCGCGGCCAGGACCAGGGAGGCTGGCCGGGCGGCCCCTGTCGTCCTCATCTTGAACTTTTTTGTGTTATTCTTTCAAGTTCTGGTTTCCTTTGCTTTCCACTCGACCAAAGCTAAGACAATAGCCAGATTGGGGGGGGGGCGGGGGTTGGGGGGAGGTGTGTGGGGAGGCGCCCCCCCCACCCACCCCCGTGGCGGCGTCAAGGGTGGCCACCCTGGCCCCGCCGCTCGCACTCATCCCAGTGCATCCCCCACCCCCCGGGACAGTGCAGCCAGCCTTGTGGGGAGGGGGATGAGGGGCAGCCACGCGGGGTGCAGGGGACCCCAGGGTCCCCCACCGTTGCTTCCACACCCCGGGCCAGCCGTTCCCAGGTGGCCATAGCCCCCCTCAGAAACCTGACCACCACAGACCCCCGAGTTTGGGGGGCGGGGCTGAGGGGTTTTCCTTGTATGAGATTGACATGTTGTCAAACCCGGTGCCCACCCCCCCACGTTCCCCGGGGCAGAGGCTGGTGTGGGGGTCCCTGAGGCGGGAGATGGGGAGGACCCCCCACTCTATGCAAACCTCCCTACCACCCCCCACGCCCGCCTTGGCGGGCGGCCATGAGAACGGAAGGGCAGGGGGCTTCTGGGAGCCCCCACCCCCCAGGGCTGGACAATCAGGGTGGGGGAGACCCCACCGTCCCCTGAGACAAGGGCCGGGGGTCCCCCGCCATCCTGCGTGTGTCTCCCCTTCCCACCCGGCCACACGGCGAGGAGGCCCCGCTGGGCGGCCTCGGGCAGGGCCGCCCGTCCCTCCACACACTCACCTAGGCGTGTATGTCCATCGTCCTGGAACTTTCTCTCTCACTTCCTGAGCCTCGGCCCGTCCGTGCAGCGGGGTTGGGGTGCCGGGGCTGGGGGAGCCACAGCCGCGCCAGCAGCATTTGTCACCAAACCAAACCCAAGTCCGCTAAAGCAGTGCCTGGCGTCTGCTGGCGCGGCTCTGGGGGCCGCCTCCCTCGGCACCCCAACAGGGCCACGCTCCCACCTGGGAGAGCGGGGCCGGGGGAGACGGCGCCCCACACCGCACCCCGACAGTGTCAGCCCAGGGAGCCCCCTGCACCCCCACGCAGGGGTCGCGCCACCCCGGGGAAGAGCGAGAGAGACAGGGGTTCCTGCTATGTTTCTTTTTTTTTTTTTCTTTCTTTTCTTTCGAGATACTATTTTTTTTTTGAGATTTTTTTGTTTCCATTTTATATTTTTCTGATATTACCAGAATAGCTGTCTCCTGCTTGCCGCACACACAGCACACGCATGAACACCCACGGACACGCACGCACTCACACTGACATGCACACACACACGCGCTCACCCCCCTCCGACGGGAGAAGCCGCCCTCGGGGTCCGCCAGCACCCCCTGCCCCCTCCACGTCGCGGATGGGGCTGGGGGCTGCGGGACCCCTCCCCGCCGAGCCCCCTCATAATCTTGTATATTATGCGTCATTTTGGTTTTCAGTTGCGCCTACCTAGGTACCATTTACAGAAAGTCTCTGCCTGTTGTTTGTTTCCCTATGCAAAAGAAAAACAAAAAACAACAAAAAAAAAAACCATGGGGGTTCCATAAAAGATTCAATAAAAGGCAAAAAAAAAAGAAAGAAAAAAATGTATAAAAATTAAACAAGCTATGCTTCGAGTTTCTCTGTGTTGAGTTGTCCTTTCTGGGGTCCCATTGGGCCCAGCAAGTGCCAGCGAGACATGGGGAGCAAATGTTTCCCTGTAGGGGACAGTGGGCAATATGGGGGCTGGTGCCAGGGGGATGGGTGGGTGGGAGAGTGGGTGCAGGGATGGATGGATTGGTGGGTGGGTGGGTGCAGGGATGGATGGATTGGTGGGTGCAGGGATGGGAGCATGTGTGGTGGGTGCAGGGATGGATGGGTGAGTGGGTACAGGGATGGGAGGGTGGGTGGTGGTTGAGTGCTGGGTTGAAGTGATGAATTGGGGGGGAAAGGAGGGTGACAAATGGAGAAGCGGTGATGTGATGGGGTGGTTGCAGGGATCCAGTTTGGGAGGCGTGTCCGGGTTGGTGAGGTCGGAGGGAAGAACACCCCCGCCCTCCCCAGCACCCTCCCTGACCCCAAAGGCGCCCCCATCCCAGTGCCGAACTACCTGGCAGAGCCCACTGTGACCACCAGCTGAAGGGAAGGGAGCCCCGGGTGTCCTCACCCTGTGCGAGCAGGGCAGGCTGCAGCAGGACGTGGTGCAGGGGGAGCAGAAAGGGCGAGGAGGAGCCCGGCTCCCCCTCCCAAGATGCCCACCCTGTGGGGGACAACCGGGGAAGGACAGGGGAGACTCCTGGCCAGAGCCCACCCGGAACGCCCCTCTTCCTACGCCGCTGGGCACCCCCCACCCAGAAAAGTGGGGTCCTACTGCACAGCTGCCAGAGGACAGCATGGGGGTACCCTCAGGGTTCCAGCTGTTTATTTATGTTTTCATACACAGGCAGGGGGTCTCACAGAAGCCCCTGTCCCCCACACGCACGGAGCTCGCACGTCACTGGGCACAAGTCCCCGAGACCGCACCAGGGCTCAAAGTCCAGGAGCAGGGGGCAGGTGGGGCGAGGCGCAGCAGAGCACCGCATCGGGGCATGGGGTGGGGCACCCCAGGGAGCCCCAGAGGCAGGAGGGAGAGGCTGAGCCCGAGGTGCCCGGTTGGGGGGGGGGGCGGAAGCAAGTGCAGCTGGGAGGCAGTGGGGCCTCCAAGGACCGTGGGTGTCCAGGCCTCACAGCTGCGTCATCTTGGCGATCTCATCTTTCGGATCCATCCCCATGTTGTTCTCCCCGGCCTCCTGAGCCTTCTTCCCCTTTTTCTTCTCTTTCTTCCCCTTCTTGGGTTCCCCGCTATGGAGAAACATGGCAGATGGATGGGTGGACAAGTGGGTGGATGGATGGGTGGGTGGGTGGGTGGATGGATGGGTGGACGAGTGGATGGATGGGTGGACGACTGGATGGATGATGGATGATGGGTGGGTGGGTGGGAGGGCCTGGCTGTGTTCTCTCACAGCACCTGCCGTCTGCCAGGCCCCAGGAATCCAGCACCCAGTGCTCCTCACCCGGTGATGGACCGAGCCAGCTCCCACTGGTGTGAAGCATGGAGAAAGAGTAGAATCCCTAGGCCAGATGCCCGGATGGCGAGGGGTGGAGGGAGAGCCACTGCCCGGAAGGGGGAGCAGCAGGGGGTGGCGCCCAGGAGCAGGGACAGTGGCCGCCGCAGGGCTCAGGGCAGGAGGAGCAGTCCCCCCCCACTCCACCCCCTCGCAGTCTGCACGCGCACTGCCTAAAGCCAGCTACCTCAGCTGCGTGTCCTCGTACCAGTTGTCATCCATGTCGATGCTGGTCTGCTCCTCATCCTGAGCTCTGAGGACAGAGTTGGGGGTGAGGGTGGGGGACGGTGGCGACAGCCTGCGTTTGGTCCCCCACCCCGGGGGGCACACCGAGAGCAGGGCCCCACCTGGTCTTGGAGCACCACACGCGGTTCACCAGCAGCAACACAAAGACGATGAATAAGAAGACCACCACAGCCGTCAGGCCCACCAGCCACGGCTTCAGGCGGCGCCCTGTGGCTGCTGAGACGGACAGGGGGCGACTCAGGGGTGGTGCAGGGCAGGGCACCCCTGGGAGACATGTCCTTGGGACTGCCCGCCCCCACCTTTCCCTCCCTCCCTCCCTCCCTCCCTCCCCGCTCCAAGGCCTCGGTCTTTCAGGCTGGAAGATGGGAGACATTCAGATCCATGAACCCGTAGGCGGGGGGGGGGGGTCCTTACCCTGCTGGGCCTCCGCAGGTGCAAGGAGCAAGGCCACCAGGACAAGCAGGGTCCCCAGGGTCTCCATGGTCACGGTAGAGCCAGTGGTGACAGCAGTGGTGACAGCAGTCCCTGGCCAGGGTGTGGGCGAGGCCCTGATAAGGCAGGGGGTGGGGCTGGGCGGGGTGAGGGTGGACCTAGGACCCGGGGAGGGGAGGTGGCACCTGCCCGAACCCCTCCTTCCCACTGCGAGGCAGACACCCCTGCACCTGCTGCAACAACCTGGGGGCGTTCAGCCCCTGCCACCCAGGCCGGGGGGGGACCCTGCTGACCGGGTGGGTGTAGGGGGCCACCAGCCCGGCCGGACTGTGTCACAAAGCCTGGAGAACCTGGGCCATCGGGGTCAACTTCCCTGCAGCCTTAACCTTGGTCCCCACCTGATCAGATAAAGCAGTCCTGCCTGGGCAAAGGGAGACCCCACCCCGGCTGGCTGCCACGGGGGCAGCTGCCGCCCAGCACGTGGCCAGCACAGGGCGCCAACTGTTTACACTGGAAAGAGGGACAGGACTGAGAGCCCACCCCACCTCGGTGCGGCAGTCCAGCAGGTGCAGGGCCCGCTCTGCAGTGTCACCCACCCGGGTCCCAAACACCACACAAGTAGTGCCCGGACTTGCACTTTATTTGACCAGGAATCCCCCAGATGTCCAGTGTCCCGGCAGGGTCCCTGAGTAGGCGGCAGGAAGTGCAAGACGCGCTTGGTGGCCACGCACACCCATGCGGGGACCCATCATTGCCCATTGCCCGGCCTGCCCGCCTCGGGCTGCACGCCCTCACACCAATCTGACGCTTTGGGCAACAAATGGAACTCCGCTTTTCATGGCAATTCCCCCCAGACTTTGTCAGGAAACAGTGTCTATTTCCAAGCAGAGAGTGGCCGGCCCAGCACTGAGCAGCCCCAGGACCTGCAGGCACTCTCCAGCAGCTTGGCTTTCCAGGAGGGACCGGAGCGCCCTGGCACTGTGCTGCCCCTCACAGCCCCAGGGAGGACTTTATTAAACGCCTTCTGTGTACTCGACCCAGGGTAAGGCTCGAAGTTGAGACCCTCCCTCCCGCCGAGCTGGGGAGGGGGTGGGAGGGATGGGGGGCGGCGCGTCCAGGCTAGGTCCCCGCACCGAACTGAGGGCTCCGAGGCTGCTGCACGCAGCTCCAGGTCGCTTTGGGGTGCAGCTGGGGGCTCAGTCCAGCTCCCAGAAGGAGCCGCTGGCGGGCGGGTCCTTGAAGGCGATGGACGGGCGCCGTGGGTCGGGGGCGGAGGCTTCTGCTGGGGTCGCCTCGCGCTCGCCGTCCTCGTCCCCGCGCCAGGCCAAGGCCAGCTGCAGGTCCAGCTCCTCCAGGTCTTCGCCGGCCAGGCTGGCGCGCAGCTCGCGGGGGCCTTCCTCCAGGTCCGGCTTTGGCCCGAAGGCCCAGTCTGCAGAGGAGACGCAGCTCAGGGCACTCCAACGACGCCATGTCACATGGAGGGGCTGGGGGTCCCCACCAGGCCGCCCCCTGCATGGGGCATGTAGACCCGGGGTGCTTCCCCCTGCGTGGGGCATGCAGACCTGAGGTGCCACCCCCTGCCAACCCCCCAGTGTGCGGTCCTGGGGCACAGCTCACCGGCCAGGTCATGTGCAAGATCCTTGATGAGGTGTCCGACAATGGCATAGGCCACGGCCACCACCAGCAGCGCGGCCATGAGCAGGTAGAGCACGTAGCGGGGCAGGCGCACGGCGTCCAGCGGAGGTGGCCGGTACTCCTCATACAGTGGAGGGGCGCGGCTCGCATCCTCGGCCGCCGCTGCCATGGCGCCCACCCGCGGGTGACCCACGCCGCGGAAGTATTAAGAAGCATTAAGGAACACGCAGCTAAGAGGATTCATCCGGTCGCTGCCCTGCAGCCGCCATCTGCCCAGCTTAGGCACCCAGGAAGTCACTCCCCCTGCAGCTGACAGGCTGGCCAGGGTCGGGGGGACAGGCAGGACGTGAGGGGGACAGCCCAGAGGAGGTGAGGGTGGGCAGGACATGAGGGGGTCAGCCCAGAGGAGGTGAGGGGACAGCCCAGAGGAGGTGAGGATGGGCAGGACATGAGGGGTCAGCCCAGAGGAAGTGAGGGGACAGCCCAGAGGAGGTGAGGATGGGCAGGACGTGAGGGGGACAGCCCAGAGGAGGTGAGGATGGGCAGGACATGAGGGGGTCAGCCCAGAGGAGGTGAGGGGACAGTCCAGAGGAGGTGAGGATGGGCAGGACGTGAGGGGGACAGCCCAGAGGAGGTGAGGGGACAGTCCAGAGGAGGTGAGGATGGGCAGGACGTGAGGGGGACAGCCCAGAGGAGGTGAGGGGACAGTCCAGAGGAGGTGAGGATGGGCAGGACGTGAGGGGGACAGCCCAGAGGAGGTGAGGATGGGCAGGACATGAGGGGGTCAGCCCAGAGGAGGTGAGGGGACAGCCCAGAGGAGGTGAGGATGGGCAGGACGTGAGGGGGACAGCCCAGAGGTGAGGGGACAGTCCAGAGGAGGTGAGGGTGGGCAGGACATGAGAGGTCAGCCCAGAGGAGGTGAGGGGACAGCCCAGAGGAGGTGAGGATGGGCAGGACATGAGGGGTCAGCCCAGAGGTGAGGATGGACAGGACATGAGGGGGTCAGCCGAGAGGAGGTGAGGACAGGGCTGCTCCCTGGGCGGCTCTCGTGTGCCCTCTGGTGGCTGCTGCTGGGAACACATGCCGCTCTTGGAGAGGACAGCACTGCCCTTTGTAGGAGACACCGGGTGCCCAGGTGGGGTACATGGGTGCTCTGGTGGGGTCACAGCCACCTTGGGGAGACACTGCTGCCCCCCAGGGCGGCCTCTGTGGCCATGTGTTGTGGAACAGCCGAGGGCTGGCGAAAGCATGGAGGCGTTCAGGAGATGTGGGCCGTGTCTCACGGCAGTTGCCACGCCACGGCCACTCTGGCCCAGTGTGTGGCGTGGGCTCATCCGGCCACGATGCCGCTCAGCGGCGTGGAAAGCTGCCAGCAGCCACGGCTGGCCTGCTGCTCTGCCCCATGGCGGGCGTCCCCCCAAGGCACCAGGGTCTCCCCAGAAGGTGCGCCACACTCATTCGAGCTTCTGTCACAGGAGTTGGCCGTCCCAGGATGGTCTGCAGCTGGGGGTCCCCCCCCCCCGACACCCCAAGCTGGTGGTCCCCCTGCTTCAGCTGTGACCAGCAACTCCTGTGTCCACCAGCGGCTGTTCCTGCATCCCGCCTGTGTGCCCACGGCAGGGCCCGGACCCCCACGGAGGGACCCCGACCGGGCTCCTGCCTGACCCAGCTCGCAGCTTGCAGGTAAACGGGGTGTCTTCTGTGGAGGTTAGTGGTGGGACCCTGCCCCCACAAGGAAAATGCACAGTCAGCAAGTTCACATCACCGGGTTCAAAAAACTTGAAGTATTTAATTATTTAAAAAGGAGGAAGACAGAAAGATCTTCCCTCTGCTGTTCACTCCCCGAGTGACCACAACAGCTGGAACTGAGCTGATTCAGAGTCATGAACCAGGAGCCTCTTCCGGGTCTCCCATGTGGGTGCAGGGTCCCAAGGCTTTGGGCCGTCCTCCACTGCTTTCCCAGGCCACAGGCAGGGAGCTGGATGGGAAGTGGGGCTGCTGGGATTCGAACCGGCGCCCCATGGATATGGGTGGCTGGGATGGGAGGAGTCGCCTATTGAGCCATGGTGCCAGGCCCTTGGCAGCCACTTTACAGAGGATGCGCCAGGACTTTGTCTTCTGGAAGCCGGGCAGGTGGCACCTCCCGGTCACTGCGAGGGAGGCCCAGGTGACGACCTCGCAGTGTCTGCAGGACCCCTGGCCACCACTCCTGGGCCCTGCCCGCCCCCAGGGCAGCCCTCCCCACCCCACACACAGAGGAGTCTGCACTTGCGCAAAAATAATTTATTGTTCCCCTGTGGGCAGCACCCTGGCCGCCGTGGATCCCTCTGTGGGCTCCAGCACCCTGGCCCAGGCCACTTCCTAGGGCCCTGGTCCTGCCCTGAAGACCCTCCACTGCCCAGAACAGCCACTGGGTCTTCCAACGTCCACCCCTGGTGCTGGGGCAGCGGCCCACGGACAGCCAGGTCACCCAGCTAGGCTCTGGGTGGCGCAGGCACCCGCTGAGCACCCTGGCACCTCTAGCAGGGGCGCGCGCGCACGCGCTCCAGCCCGTCGGCGTACTGGAAGGCCTGCCCGCGCTCATGCTGGTACATGTCCAGGGCCACCTCACAGCTCTCCCGCACCACGCGCTCGGGGTCGGCCGCGTGCGCCCGCAGCGCTGCCAGGCAGGCAGGCTGCGCGATGGCACCCAGGGCCTCGGCGCACTCATGCCGTACCATGGCGTTCTCGGCCCGGCGCGCCAGGGCCGCTGCCAACTCGGGAATAGCCGCCTCGTGCTGCAGCTGACCCAGCACGTAGCCCACCTCGTGCCGGAACAGGGCACTGCCACAGCGCAGACCTGTGGGACAGGAAGAGACGGGGGTCACGCGTGGGGACCTGGACCCCAGCCACCTGCCCGCCCTGGGACCCATTCTTTTTCCTCACCCTCAGCCAGCGCCAGGGCGGCCTCCTCACCGCCCACATTGCGCAGGGCGAACATGGCGCGGTAGCGGTCGAAGAGCGGCAGGGCCTCGTCCAGCAGTGTTGCCCGCAGGCGTGCCACGTCACTCTCTTCGGCTGGTGGCGCGGGGTCCACGGACAGGTAGGGCCCAACTGCTGGCTCCCGGCCGTGCTGCTGCAGCCACTCCAGCCGCCGCACTGCCAGCTGGCACGTCTCAGCCACCTGTTGGGCGAGTGGGTGGGCATGAGGGGCCACAAACGGGGCAAGGAGCATCAGGGTGGCCTGGATGCCCTGCTCCACCCTGGGACAGGGAGAGGCCTGCTCACCTCTGGCACTGGGTCCGCGGAGTATTCCTTCAGCAGCTCCAGGACCTGGGGGTCCCCAATAGCTCCCAGGGCCTCCCCTGCAAAGGGGGCAGGACAAATTCAGGGCTGCATAGGACCAAGGGGAGAGGGGTTCCTGCCCGGGGCCACTTCTGCTGGAGCGGCAGTGGACACACGCTGCAGGCCAGGATCTGGAATGGCACCTGTCAGACCTCCCCGGCCACAGCCCGTGCCAGGACACGTGTCCTTCCGGCCACTCACCGGCCTCGTGGCGCACCATGGGCTCCTGCGCCCGGTCTTGCAGCACGGCCACCAGCACGGGGATGGCGCTTGTGTCCTGCATCTGGCCCAGGCAGTAGGCCAGCTCGTGCTTGAGCAGGGCCGAGTCATCCCCAAAGGCCTGGCTGATCCAGGAGATGGCGCCGGGGCCCCCGAGCCCACGCAGTGTGAACAGCGCCCGGAAGCGGGCCTGCAGGGGCTGCCCAGGGTCCACCAGCGTGCGCCCGATGGCCTCCAGCTCCGACTCCGTCACCATGGCGTCCACTCAGACCTGCAGCCAAAGGATGGAAATGGGGGTCACAGACACCCCGGCCCCCAACCCTGCTCGGCTGCACACCCTGGGGAACAGGGGCGATGAGCCAGCAGGCAGGACCACTTAAATACGAACACATTTGGGGGTTCCTTCAAGTTTCTGGGAGGCCTTTTCAAAACCCAAAGTTTAGGGGTGTGGGCAAATGAGAACTGGGCTAGTCTTTTTTCAGGGGGTACAGTCTTACAAGGTTCATGTCCCTCTGGCTTCAGGGAGTCCAGGGTGGAACTCCCGGCCACTCCAAGCCCCCCATCTCACACCATGGGAACGGGGATGTGCCCTGGGCCTACAGGGTGACGGGGCTCAGCACCCCCATACACACCAACCCCCAACACCATCGTACCCCACTGACCCAGGGAGGGCACCCCACACACACCAGCGTCACCCCACAGACCGGGGGAGGACACCCCTCAAGGGCAGCACCGGGGAAAGGGGGTACCCCGCATCGGGGGACAGGGATCCGGACTTCGGGACACCCAGACCCCCAGATCCCCTTTCCCTGACACCCCATCCGCAGATCCCCCTTCCCCGGCCCCAGGTCCCCCTTCCCCGGCCCCAGGTCTCCCTTCCCCGACCCCACACCCCGATCCCCCTTCCCCGACCCCATGTCCCCCTTCCCCGACCCCATGTCCCCCTTCCCGGCCCCAGGTCCCCCTTCCCCGGCCCCAGGTCTCCCTTCCCCGACCCCACACCCCGATCCCCCTTCCCCGACCCCAGATCCCCCTTCCCCGACCCCATGTCCCCCTTCCCAGGCCCCCATGTCCCCCTTCCCCGGCCCCAGGTCCCCCTTCCCCGGCCCCAGGTCTCCCTTCCCTGATCCCCAGGTCCCCCTTCCCCGACCCCAGGTCCCCCTTCCCCGACCCCACACCCCGATCCCCGCTGGACTCACCGACCGCCCGGGGCCGTTCCGCCTTCACTCACGGTGCGCCCTGCAGGCCGCCATCTTCCGCCCACGTGACCGGCGCGGACGGAACCAAGGCAGGCGGGCGCGGGGGGTGGGCGCGGCGGCGGCGCCGGGCCCGGATGGCCGAGGAGCCGAACCCGCCGCCCGGCGGCCTCCGAAGCCGGGGACGGTGCTCGGGGAGCGGGCCGGGGCCGCGTCGGCCTTTCCTCGCCGGCTTCGCTACCGCCTCCCTCCCGCGAGCGGAGATGGCACTGCCCAGCCGGACGGGGCGGCTAGCCACGGCGCATGCGCGGAGGCGGGGCCAGGCCTGTCGGGTGGGGGACTCCGGGGCGCCCCAAAGGCCGGCGGGGTGTCCTCGCCCCGGACAGCCGGGCCCTCGGTGCTGGGGGACCCCGGTGGAAGGACCCTGCCCTGCCCTGCCCTGCCCTGTCCGGGGTGCAGGTGGACCCCGGTGGAAGGAGCCTGCCCTGCCTTGCCCTGTCCAGGGGTGCAGGTGGACCCCGGTGGAAGGAGCCTGCCCTGTCCAGGGGTGCAGGTGGACCCCGGTGGAAGGAGCCTGCCCTGCCCTGTCCAGGGGTGCAGGTGGACCCCGGTGGAAGGAGCCTGCCCTGCCTTGCCCTGTCCGGGGTGCAGGTGGACCCCGGTGGAAGGAGCCTGCCCTGCCCTGCCCTGTCCAGGGGTGCAGGTGGACCCCGGTGGAAGGAGCCTGCCCTGCCCTGTCCAGGGGTGCAGGTGGACCCCGGTGGAAGGAGCCTGCCCTGCCCTGCCCTGTCCAGGGGTGCAGGTGGACCCCGGTGGAAGGAGCCTGCCCTGCCCTGTCCAGGGGTGCAGGTGGACCCCGGTGGAAGGAGCCTGCCCTGCCCTGTCCAGGGGTGCAGGTGGACCCCGGTGGAAGGAGCCTGCCCTGCCCTGCCCTGTCCGGGGTGCAGGTGGACCCCGGTGGAGGGAGCATTCTGGCCTGCCAGGTCTGCCCAGGGACCCCACCTCTGGCCCGGGTCTCAGGGTCCTCCCAAGGCCTGTGGACGGTGCTCCAGGCGCTCATGCATGCCACGGGGGGTGGGTGCGACCTCGTCTGCGAACACACACCCTCTCCTGCCGTCCCCTGAGGGAGCCAAGCAGCCAAAGATGGTGTTGGGGTGCAGTGGGTCGAGCCCCTGCTTTGGTCCACCCGTCCTGCCGGGCAGGGGCGCCAGACCTCAGGCCTGGCTGGTCTGCTTCCTGCTGATAGGGGGGAGGCCAGGCCTGGGTGCTGAGTCAAGCTTGGGCCACCCTCCTGGGAGGGACGCACATCAGTGAGTCAGCGGGCAGGCCCTCACTATGTAAATAAAAACAAGTTTGTTTTTAAAGGTGTGTGTGGGGGGGGGCAGCCCCAATGGCTAAAATCCTCACCTTGCACGCCCGGGATCCCATTTGGTCGCCGGTTCGGATCCCGGCTGCTCCACTTCCCATCCAGCTCCCTGCCTGTGGCCTGGGAAAGCAGTGGAGGACGGCCCAAAGCCTTGGGACCCTGCACCCGCGTGGGAGACCCGGAAGAGGCTCCTGGCTCCTGCCCTTGGATCAGCACAGCTCCAGCTGTTGCGGTTACCTGGGGACTCAACAGCAGCCTCTCCTCCTCTCTGCAAATCTGCCTACCCAATAAAAATAAATCTTTTTTATTGCAAACTCAGATATACAGAGAGGAGGAGACTGGGAGCCAGGAGCCTCTTCCGGGTCTCCCACGCGGGTGCAGGGTCCCAAGGCTTTGGGCCGTCCTCCACTGCTTTCCCAGGCCACAGGCAGGGAGCTGGATGGGAAGTGGAGCAGCCGGGATCCGAACTGGCGCCCATATGGGATCCTGGGCGCGTTCAAGGTGAGGAGGACTTTAGCCACTAGGCTACAGCGCCGGGCCCCAAAATAAATAAATCTTAAAAAAATGTCAGCCTCTAGTATGGGGACCAGGTGGGGTCCATCTGCCCCCTTCTGATGTGCCTGGGAAAGCAACAAAGGACACCCCAAGTCCTTGGGCCCCTGCACCCCTGTAGGGAACCTGATGGAGCTTGTGTATCAGCCGCGTCCAGCAGCGGTCAGTGTCCTGCGTGGGCCCAACCTCCCGGGGCAATGTCCACTGCCCCCCTGGCTGCAGTGCTGAGCAGCGTGGGCAGTGCGGCCTGAGAGTCGGGCTGCAGGAAGGAGGGAAGAATGGGCAGCTGGGTGCCAGGCCTTGGGGTCCAGCTGTCCGCGTGGCCTGGTCAGCAGTGTCGGGGGTCAGCAGTATCAGGGGGTCAGATGTGTCAGGGGTCAGCCGTGTCGGGGGTCAGCCTTGTTGGGGGTCAGCAGTGTTGGGGGATCAGCCGTGTCGGGGGTCAGTCATGGTCAGGGGTCAGTCATGGTCAGGGGGTCAGCCATGGTCAGGGGGGTCAGTCATGGTCAGGGGGTCAGTCATGGTCAGGGGGTCAGCCATGGTCAGGGGTCAGCTGTGTCGGGGATCAGTCATGGTTGGGGGGTCAGCTGTGTTGTGGGGTCAGCCATGTCGAGGGTCAGCTGTTTTTGGGGGGTTCAGCCGTGTTGAGGGTCAGCCGTGTCGGGGGTCAGCCGTGTCGAAGGATCAGCCGTGTCTGGAGGTCTGTCATGGTCAGGGGGTCAGTCATGGTCATTAGGTCAGCCATGGTCAGGGGTCAGCGTGTTGGGGGGGTCAGCCCTGTTGGGGGGTCAGTCATGGTCAGGGGGTCAGCCGTGTCAGGGGGGTCAGTCATGGTCAGGGAGTGAGCCGTGTCAGGGGGGTCAGTCATGGTCAGGGGGTCAGCCGTGTGTGGGGGGGGTCAGTCATGGTCAGGGGGTCAGTCATGGTCAGGGGGTCAGCGTGTCGGGGGGGTCAGTCATGGTCAGGGGGTCAGCCTTGGTCAGGGGGTCAGCCGTGTCGGGGGTCAGCTGTGTCGGCGTCAAGGGATGCAAGGGTCCGCAGTCCTGCCGCCCCGCCCCAGCTCGGTCCAAGCTCTTCCGGCCGCCGTTGCCCTGGGCAACGCGTGGGGGCGCGCTTCCTGTATTGATTCGAATCGGTGTGACGTCACTCTTCCCGAGATGCCCGAGGCGCGCAGGCGCCGTGGCGCCCGAGAAAGGGGCGTGTCCGAGAAAGCGCGACACCAGGGGGCGTGGTTGCGTGCGGCGCCGGGGGCGTGTCCGGCCGCGGGGGGCGTGGTTGCGTGCGGCGCCGGGGGCGTGTCTGGCGGCGGGGGACGCGCGCGCGTGCGCGGGCGGCGGCGGGGACGCGCGCGGCGGCGGCGGCGGGCGGGAGCCGGGCGGCCGCGGAGCAGCGACGCCGCCATATTAAGGCAGCGCGGAGAGCCGGCGTCCCGGCGCGGGGCTGAGGCGACGGGGCCTGGCGGAGCGGCGGGCGGCCCCGAGGCGGGAGCGGCGCCACGCCTGGCGAGGCGGGGCCGGCGGGAGGCCGGCGGGAGGCCGGCGGGCGGCGAGCCAGGTAAGGACCCGCCCCCCGTGTGGGCGCGGCGGCGACCCCCAGGACCTGCCCGGGACCCCGCTGCCCGCGACCCCCGGGTGTCCCTGCTGGGCTGTCCCGGCCCCCTGTGTGCCCCGTGTGTCCCTGCTGGGCTGTCCCCTGCCCACTGCCCAGGACCCGCTCCCCAGGACCACACTGCCCAGGACCCCCTGCCCAGGACCCCCTGCCCAGGACCCCGCTCCCCAGGACCACACTGCCCAGGGCCACACTGCCCAGGACCCGCTCCCCAGGACCCCGCTCCCCAGGACCCCCTGCCCAGGGCCACACTGCCCAGGACCCCCTGCCCAGGACCCCGCTCCCCAGGACCCCCTGCCCAGGGCCACACTGCCCAGGACCCGCTCCCCAGGACCACACTGCCCAGGACCCCCTGCCCAGGACCCCCTGCCCAGGACCACACTGCCCAGGACCCCCTGCCCAGGACCCGCTCCCCAGGACCCCCTGCCCAGGATCCCCTGCCCAGGACCCCCTCATCAGGACTACACTGCCCTAGCTGCCCAGGACCCCCTGCCCAGGACCACACTGCCCATGACCCCCTGCCCAGGACCCCGCTCCCCAGGACCACACTGTCCAGGACCCCCTGCCCAGGACCCGCTCCCCAGGACCACACTGCCCAGGGCCACACTGCCCTGGCTCCCCAGGACCCTCTGCCCAGGACCCCCTGCCCAGGACCCCGCTCCCCAGGGCCACACTGCCCAGGACCCCGCTCCCCAGGACCTCCTGCCCAGGACCCCGCTCCCCAGGACCCCCTGCCCAGGACCACACTGCCCAGGACCCCCTCATCAGGACTACACTGCCCTAGCTGCCCAGGACCCCCTGCCCAGGGCCACACTGCCCTGGCTCCCCAGGACCCTCTGCCCAGGACCCCCTGCCCAGGACCACACTGCCCTGGCTGCCCAGGACCCCACTCTCCAGCATACACTGCCCTGCCTCCCTGCAAGCTGGGCCTCTTCTGACGGACCTCCCCACCCTGAAGCCCCCCGCCGTGGCCGGCTGGGCCTGGGTCGCCCACACCCAGGCACCTGCACCAGGTTGGACTGCTCAGGACCCGGAAATGCGCTACTTCCTGGGTGCCCGGGGCTCCGGGGTCACCCTACCTGCCTACTGCCTTCATGGCCCAGACAGGTGTTAGCAGGGACCCCCTCCACACACCTGTCAGTCATGCCTGGGGGTGCAGGTGTGCGACCCCCCAGGGAGCCCCACACACAGGCACCCTGGGTGTGGGGTGCTGGGGAGCCTGGCTGGGGTTCTGCAGCATCTCCCTGGGGGTGCCCCCTCCTGCCCAGCCGCCCTGTGACTCCCATGCTCGGCGTCCCTGACTCAGGCGGCAGAGGCACCTGGGCTGCACCTGTCGTGGCTCAAGGTGGTTGTTGACACTGGGGGTGTTGCTGGCTGAGAGTGAGGGGTTGGGGATGCTGCTCCACGCCCCACAGTGCCCGGCAAGGGTCCCCACCCTGGAGGGCTGCATGGGGCTGGAGTGACCACTGGCCACCTGCAAGTGACCCGGCTTGTCCCCATCCTGTGTGTGGTTGGCGGGTCGTGAACCCCGAGATCTCATTGGGGCTTTGGGCACCTTGGCTGCTGGTTCTGCCAGCCCCATGTGTCCCTCCTGGACTGTCCCCAGCCCCCTGTCTGTCCCTCCTGGGCTGTCCCCCGGCCTCCTGTGTGCCCTTCCTGAGCTGTCCCCTCGGCTCCCTGAGCCCTATGTCCTTCCTGAACTGTCCCCTTGTATGTCCCATGTGTCTCTCCTAGGCGATCCCCCGGCCCCCCTGTGTCTCTCTTGAGCTGTCCCTGGCCCCCTGTGTGCCCCATGTACCCCTCCTGAGCTGGCCCCCTGGCCCCCTATGTGTCTCGGTGTGTCCCTCCTGGGCTGTCCTCTGACCCCTGTGTGTCGCTCCTGGGCTGTCCTCTGACCCCTGTGTGTCCCTCCTGGGCTGTCCTCAGCCACCTGTGTGTCCCTCCTGGCTGCCTCAGCCCTGTGTGCCTCCTGGGCCTCAGCCACCTGTGTGTCCCTCCTGGGCTGTCCTCAGCCACCTGTGTGTCGCTCCTGGGCTGTCCTCAGCCACCTGTGTGTCCCTCCTGGGCTGTCCTCTGACCCCTGTGTGTCCCTCCTGGGCTGTCCTCAGCCACCTGTGTGTCGCTCCTGGGCTGTCCTCAGCCACCTGTGTGTCCCTCCTGGGCTGTCCTCAGCCACCTGTGTGTCCCTCCTGGGCTGTCCTCAGCCACCTGTGTGTCCCTCCTGGGCTGTCCTCAGCCACCTGTGTGTCCCTCCTGGGCTGTCCTCAGCCACCTGTGTGTCCCTCCTGGGCTGTCCTCAGCCACCTGTGTGTCCCTCCTGGGCTGTCCTCTGGCCCCCGTGTGTCCCTCCTGGGCTGTCCTCAGCCACCTGTGCGTCGCTCCTGGGCTGTCCTCTGACCCCCGTGTGCCCCTCCCGGGTTGTCTCCCAGCTGCATATGCAGGGGAGCCAGCCTGGGCCACTCTGTGTGTTCAGTCCTGCCATTTTAGAGGGGTACCCAGCACCATCACCCCCACTTCCTGCCCCTGGGTCTCCCATATGGCGTGTGAGGTGCCTGCGGTTACCCCGGGACCTACCGGTTGCCCCTTCCCGCCGTGCGCAACTCCTGTCCCTGGCTGTGTAGTGCTCCGCCATGGCTGGGTCCTGCCCGGGGCTCTGCCTGGGCCGAGAGGGTGGCCATAGTGGCCGGTCCTCGTAGGCAGCGCTGGCGCCTGCCTCGGGGAGTGCTTCCCTGGTTGGGGGCCCCTCCCGGGGTCTCGCTGTTGTGTGTGTCCACTGGCTGTCCTGTGCTCCGGCCACAAGCTGGATGGCTGGGTCCTCTCATGGACTGGGTGGGAGTGGGAGCCTCCATATCCCACCGCCCCGCCAGCTGTGGGGTCTGCAGCGAGGGGGCACGCCGGCCTGGCCTGCAGGGCAGCGCCCTTGCTCCACAGCTGCTGCGGGTCCTCTGGGGCGTGGGGCTAGGTGGGACCAGCTGGGAAGCGGGCAGTGCCCAGTGAGCGAGCGAGTAGGCCTGGTGCTGTGGGCTGTGGGATGCTCCAAGTCTGGCCCAGGCCAGCCTGTGTATGCCCGTGGCTCGGGGGGGAGGGACGCGCAGAGGACCTCAGGGCCAGGCAGGAGCCAGGGTGGCAGCCAGCAGGTGGGCCAGGGCAGGTGTGGGTGGTGTGCAACTGCTGTCCAGAACAGGGAGGGGCCCGGGGCCGGGCTGCGGGTCACAGGTGCCTGCCGGAGGCTGCGGGAACTGGCCTGCAAATTTCAGCAGCAAGGCCTGCCTCGGGGCCGGGTCCCCAGGCGGGGTGGTGGCCAGCAGGGTCTGGGCTGCATGTCCCCACCCCCACTCGGGACTACAGGGGTTCCTCTGATTGGGGTGCTGGCCCCCCGGGAGTGCCCAGGCCAGACCCTAGTTGCATTGCCCGATTCCGGGCGCTCGCTGCCTCCTCTCGATCCTTGGAGACAGCCAGCCAGCCAGGGTCAGTTCTGGTGAGCTGGGTCTGAGGGACTCTGGTAGAAAGTTCCAGAGCCCTGGAGTTTAGATCTGGAACTGGACTGGGTAGCAGGGAGAACCAGAGCTCACAGCCCCCACCTGGCTGGGGGCCCCTGGCCCGGGAAGCCACACACTTGTCACTGGCTGGCTCAGATCCACCAGCCCCATGGCACAGCCTGGGGGCACAGGGATGAGGCAGAGCAAGTCTGGCCAGTGGACAGCCCAGGGCGGTGGGGGGGGGTGGCCTTTGGCCCTACTTGAATTCCAGCCACTCTAGAGCAGCTCTGGAAGGTCTGTCTATATACCTGGAGCAGTTAGAGACGGAGGACAGCCATCTTGCACCTGCTGGTCCACCCCCGATGGCCACAGCGGCTGGGACCGGGCCAGCACTGGGGTCAGCTTGTGCATTAGCGCACAAACGGATGGGAAGTGGAGGAGCTGAGATTTGAACCAGCGCTCCTGTGGGATGCTGGAACTGTGGGGCCACAGCGCCTGGCCCACTAGACTGTTTTGAAGGAGCTAGTTCATGGCGTTTGTGACGGTCAAGTGTCCGCGTGGCCCTTGGCAGAGGGAAGGCCCCTGGGCGAGGGGGGCACTGTGGCTAAGAGGGCTGCCCTGACCCAGCAGCTCATGCTGCGCCCCGGCTGGGGGGCGAAGGCTCAGGGCTGCAGGCCTGCCCGTCCAGGGAGCCCTGGTCTTCAGCTATGCCAGGGAGGGGAGGCATGGGTTCCTGGCCATGGGGATAGCACAGAGCTGGGGTTCCTGGCTGGGGGGTGGGGCAGGGCAGCAGGGAGCTGGGGTTCCTGGCCGCAGGAGGCCACAGGGAGCCAAGTTTCTAGGGAGGATTCTTAGAAGCCGAGCCGGCTGCCAGGGCGCGCTGCTCCCACATGCTGGGGGGCTGAGCTGCTGCCTGAGAGTGTTCACAGCTCCTGCTTGGGGGGGGGGGTGGTGTGTGTGTGTGTGTGTGTGTGTGTGCGCGCGCGCGCGCCTGCCTGCCTCTATGTGTGTGTGTAGGCCGCAGCCCTTGGGCTCCGCCCTCAGGAGGTGAATGGCTGCCTGGCCGCGTGAATGCATCTTTCTCTTTTTTAAAGATTTTGAAAATGTACATGAAAGAGTTGCAGAGAGGGAAAGAGATTTCGTGTCCACTGGCATACTCCCCAGGGCCAGCGTGGACACGGACACTCACACGGAAGCTGTGAGCTCCATCCGGGTCTCCCACGCGGGTGCAGGGTCCCCAGCACTTGGGCCGTCCTCCACTGCTTTCCCAGGCACAGAGGCAGGGAGCTGGATGGGAAATGGAGCAGCCGGGACATGAACCTGTGTCCACATGGGGTGCTGGCGCTGCAGACACATCACTCCTAAACATCTTTTTGGGGAGGGGGCATCTTCTGTTACCCTCCCAAATACCTTCAGCGACAGGGCCGGGCCCAAGGGCCTGGGCTGTGTCCGACCCCCTACCCCACCCCCTAAGGGTTGCAGGGCTGAACCCGGGAGCTGGGCGCTGTGTCCGGCCCCCTACAGGGGTGCAGAGCCAGGAGCGCTGAGTGGCCCCATGGCCCCTAGGGGGGTGGGTATCAGTGGGCGCCCTCACTGGCCTCCTAACAGACTGTGGCCCTAGCATGTTGCTGGAGGCCTGGAGCAGCCAGGACAAGGACTCGAGGGGTCCCCGGGCCCCTAGGCCCGTCGGCTCGGTCACCTGGTCCTGTGCTTGGACATGGCCAGGCCACATGGTTAAAGTGCTGGGGACCAGCTTGTCTGCGGTGCTGGGTCCTGGAGTCAGCACTGGCCTCTCTCTGATCTGCAGAGCAAGCCCTGGGAGGGGGCACCCCCTGCTCCGCCGCCTGGCTGGAGGAGACTAAGGCCCCCAGGGATGGGCCCCCCAGCCCTGCTGCCCTCCCCGGGTGGCCACTGTGTGTCCCATCCCTGGGTGACGAGGTGCCCATGGGTGCAGAGTGGACGGGTGGGCTGCACGTCCCTGACCCCTGGCCATTCTGCGCTGGCTGTGCCCCCCACTTCTCCATCCCTTCCCGTCTCCACTCTCCGGCAGCCTCCTCTGAGAGGCCCACCGGTCCCGCGTCCCTCCAGGCCCTTGGGACAGGCCAAGGCCTGGGCTTGGGGGACACAGGCCTGAGCCCACCTGCCCTTCCCACTGCAGCTGGACGAGGCCCCGCCATGGACCAGGACTACGAGCGACGCCTGCTGCGGCACATTGTCACGCAGAAAGAGAACACCATGCCCTGCGTGAGTGCCCGCGTCCACCCTGGGCAGCGCCCCCCGCCCTGCGTGAGTGCCCACGTCCACCCTGGGCAGCGCCCCCCACCCTGCAGGACCTCCCTGGGCAGTACCCCTTGCCCTGCGGGACCACCTGGGTAGCACCCCTTGGTTTGCCCTGCGGGACCACCCTGGGCAGTGCCCCCCGCCCCACCCCCACAGGATCACCCTGGGCACACACCCACCCAGCGGGAGGGACCAGAGACCCAGCCCAGCCCTGCCGGCACCTGTGCAGTCCCGTCCTGAGCCCCTGGGCGAGCTGTGGGGTAGAGCTGAGGGAGTTGATGAGGCAGGCGGGGTCAGGGCCCCTGAGGGATGGGTGCTGGGGTGGGGGTGCTGAAGCAGGGCGCCCTGTATTGCATCCTCACACAAGGTCCTGCCCACTGCTGCCCCTCCACCTGCAGCCCCAATGGCAGTGGGCCCTTCCTGCCCAGGACCACTTTGGTGCTGATGTGGGGAGGCCCCGGGTGACAGCGTGGCCTGCCCTCGTGCTGGCATGGGGGGTTTGTGGGGGGCCCGGGGTGACGGCCCGGCCTCCTCCTGCAGGTCTCTGAGCTGCGGCGCACGCTGACGCCCTCCAACTCGCCGGTGTCCTCGCCCAGCAAGCACGGGGACCGCTTCATCCCCTCGCGGGCTGGGGCCAACTGGAGCGTCAACTTCCACAGAATCAACGTGAGTGCTGGGCGGACAGCGGGCTGGGGGACGGGCCGCAGCATGGGCTGGGGGCCCCCTCACGCTTGCTCTCGGCTCCCCAGGAAAACGAGAAGTCTCCCAGCCAAAACCGGAAAGCCAAGGACGCCACCTCGGACAGCGGTAAAGGTGAGCACGGTCGTGCCCCGGTGTGGCCCGCTCCGGTCCCCAGCCACAGCCACTCACGTGTCTGCTCCCCGCAGATGGCCTGGCCTACTCGGCCCTGCTCAAGAACGAGCTGCTAGGTGCCGGCATCGAGAAGGTGCAGGACCCGCAGACCGAGGACCGCCGGCTGCAGCCCTCGACACCCGAGAGGAAGGGGCTGTTCACAGTGAGCCGCCCGCTGTGGGCTGCCTGCGGGGGGAGGGCTGCCTGCGTGCGTGGGGAGGGCTGCGTGCGTGGGGAGGGCTGCGTGCGTGGGGAGGGCTGCGTGCGTGGGGAGGGCTGTGTGCCTGTGGGGAGGGCTGTGTGCGTGGGGAGGGCTGCCTGCGTGGGGAGGGCTGTGTGCGTGGGGAGGGCTGCCTGCGTGGGGAGGACTGTGTGTGTGTAGGGAGGGCTGTGTGCCTGTGGGGAGGGCTGCGTGCGTGGGGAGGGCTGCGTGTGTGGGGAGGGCTGCGTGCGTGGGGAGGGCTGTGTGCCTGTGGGGAGGGCTGTGTGCCTGTGGGGAGGGCTGCGTGCCTGTGGGGAGGGCTGCGTGTGGGGGGAGGGCTGTGTGCCTGTGGGGAGGGCTGCGTGTGTGGGGAGGGCTGCGTGCGTGTGGAGGGCTGCGTGTGTGGGGAGGGCTGTGTGCGTGGGGAGGGCTGTGTGTGGAGAGGTGCTGTCTGTTGGGGGGCTGTGTGCCTGTTGGGGGGCTGTGTGCCTGTGGGGGGCTGTGCACGTGTACATGCACACACGTGGAGTAGCTGCAGCCGGAAGCCTGTAGGTGTTGCTCCATGATGCTGCTTCCTGGCGGGGCCCCCCCACCCCGAGAGCCCGCCCACTGAGCAGGTGCTTGTCCCCCAGTATTCCCTCAGCACCAAGCGTGCGAGCCCCGACGATGGCAACGACGTCTCCCCCTACTCCTTGTCCCCCGTCAGCAACAAGAGGTGGGTCTAGGCCAGGCGGCGGCCAGGCTGGCTCTGTGGGCCTGTGGGCGGGCGGCCGGGCTCCGTGGGCCTGTGGGCGGGCGGCCGGGCTCCGTGGGCCTGGTGGCGGCTGGGCAGCCGGGCTCTGTGGGCCTGTGGGCGGGCGGCCGGGCTCCGTGGGCCGGGCCTGACCCCCTTTGCCACCCGCAGCCAGAAGCTGCTGCGCTCGCCGCGGAAGCCGGCCCGCAAGATCTCCAAGATCCCCTTCAAGGTGCTGGACGCGCCCGAGCTGCAGGACGACTTCTACCTGAACTTGGTCGACTGGTCCTCGCTCAACGTGCTCAGCGTGGGCCTGGGCACCTGCGTCTACCTGTGGAGCGCGTGCACCAGCCAGGTGCGGCCGGGCAGCCCACGCCGGCCCGGGCCCCGGGTGGACGGGAGGGCATCCCCGCGGGCGGTGCTGACCTTGCGCTGGGCTGTCCCCAGGTGACCCGGCTGTGTGACCTCTCTGTGGAAGGCGACTCGGTGACCTCGGTGGGCTGGTCCGAGCGGGTGAGTCCCCCGGCTCCGGGCGCGGTGGGGGAGACCTGGCGAGCACCGCCCGGCCACCTCGTGTCCTACGGTCACCCGTGTGTGGCTGCGGGTCCAGGAGTTTGACTCCAACAACGTCTGCCCTGCTGGGAGCCACAAGGGGTGCCCGCGTGTGACCCGACCCCACTCCCACAGGGGAACCTGGTGGCCGTGGGCACACACAAGGGCTTCGTGCAGATCTGGGACGCGGCGGCTGGCAAGAAGCTGTCGGTGCTGGAGGGCCACACGGCGCGTGTGGGTGAGGCCCGGGCCCCACTGGGGGGAAACGGGGGGCATGGGTGCCCGGGCCCGGCCGCCTCGCTGAGCCCGCTCTGCCCTCCCAGGGGCGCTGGCCTGGAACGCCGAGCAGCTCTCGTCCGGCAGCCGTGACCGTGTCATCCTGCAGCGGGACATCCGCTCGCCACCGCTGCAGTCCGAGCGGCGGCTGCAGGGCCACCGGCAGGAGGTGTGCGGCCTCAAGTGGTCCACGGACCACCAGCTGCTGGCCTCGGGGGGCAACGACAACAAGGTCAGGGGGCGTCGGGACTTGGGGGCGGTGGGCTGCGGGTGTGGGGGGGGCCGCTGACCCCCGGCCCCCCTCTCGCCGCCCCAGCTGCTGGTGTGGAACCACTCGAGCCTGGCGCCGGCGCAGCAGTACACGGAGCACCTGGCGGCGGTCAAGGCCATCGCCTGGTCCCCGCACCAGCACGGGCTGCTGGCGTCGGGCGGCGGCACGGCCGACCGCTGCATCCGCTTCTGGAACACGCTCACGGGCCAGCCGCTGCAGTGCATCGACACGGGCTCGCAGGTGTGCAACCTGGCCTGGTCCAAGCACGCCAACGAGCTGGTGAGTGTCACGGGGGGCCGGGGCGGCCAGCCCAGGGCCTCGCCTGCACCCCTCTGACCCCCCCGCCATCCCCTGCCCTCCCAGGTGAGCACCCACGGCTACTCGCAGAACCAGATCCTGGTGTGGAAGTACCCGTCGCTGACCCAGGTGGCCAAGCTGACCGGGCACTCGTACCGCGTCCTCTACCTGGTGAGTGGGGACCGCCCGGTGCCTCCCTGTCCCCCCACTCCGCCCCGGGCACGCACCACCTCCCCCCCCGCATTATCCCATGCACGTGCCCCAAGTGACCCCAGCCCGGCCCCCTAGGCCATGTCCCCCGATGGGGAGGCCATCGTCACTGGTGCTGGAGACGAGACGCTGCGCTTCTGGAATGTCTTTAGCAAAACACGCTCCACGAAGGTGCGTGAGGCTGCGGGGTGCCACGGAGCGGGCGGCTGAGCTCCCCCAAGGCCGCGTGGTCTCAGCAGCCCCTCCCCCCCGGTCCTGCCCACAGGAGTCCGTGTCTGTCCTCAACCTGTTCACCAGGATCCGGTAAAGCCGGGACCGCCGCGCCCTCGGCCTGCGTGGCCCCGTGCTCCCCGCACGCGGCCCAGGACAGGCGGCGGCCGGGTGGGGGGAGCTGGCCCGGAGGGAGCCGGGGAGTCCGATTAAACACCTGATTGTGAGCCGCGGCCACCGTGTCTGGGGGGACTGGGGACCCTCGGACCACCGGGCACGGACCCCACGACCTCCGGCATCCGCTCCCCGAAGCACACAGCCCATCGCTCGAGGAGCGTCGGACCAAGTGCAGGACGCCAGCGGCCGTCGCGGCCGTGACCTTGAGGACTCGTGGTGTGGACTTGTCGCGGTGGCCAGAGTGCCCCCACGGGAACGGGCGCTGTGCGTGTGCTCGCTTGCGTTTGGGACCTAGCTGGGGTCTGTGGCTGGAAGCGGGGTCCTGGAGCCGAGCTGGCCGACGAGGGCGACCGTGACCCTGACAGCCGGCGGGGCCACGTGGGCGGGGTGAGCCAGGGTGAGGATGATGGCTCTGCTGGGTGGGGGCGCCGAGCCCCAAGGAAGGAGGCGGCCAGGTGTGGGGTGTAGGGGACGAGAGCAAGTGGGGAGGGGCCGGGACCCCGGGACCTTCCTCCAGGCGAGGCGGGGACCGGGGTCACGGGCAGAGGAGCAGTGAAGGATGGGCAGGGTGCCAGGGGGCTCAGGCCCCCCCGGCCCGAGCAGGTAGGTGGGCGGGAGGAGGCTGGCCCGTTGTGTTTACATATCTCTGTGGTGAAATACACTGACACAACACGCCTTCCGGAGGTGCATGCCTGCCATGTGTGCTGCGCCATCCCCCTGGGTGTGTGTGTGTGCGTGTGCTGTGCCATCCCCACCCGGGCGTGTGTGTGTGTGTCCCCACTCCAGATGGCTCCCTGTCCACGGGGACACGTCAGTGGCTCCCCATCCCGGCTCCCACGGGAGCCACAGACCCCAGCCATGGCCGTGCTCTGGAAGCCGCAACAAGGACAAGGCAGGGAAGCGGGCAAGGGCGGGGCTGGCGTTGCCGAGACACCCAGCGGCCTTTGTCACGTCAGCAGTGGCCCTGGGAAGTTCTGGGTTGGTGCTCCAGGCACCTGAGGCAAACATGCAGACCCCCTGGTGGCCAGCTGCCCGGCCCTATGTCCCCTTGGGGACTTTGGAAGTGAGCTTCCCGGCCCCTCTGTACAGGTGAGCTGCTCCCTGGGCCATGCCACCCGCGGCTGTCACCGTGGACTGGAGGGCCCTCCTGCCCATCTCAAAACCAGTCCCAGGCGCCCACTGGCTGGGGTTCTGGGTGCCTGGGAGTTGAGCCTAATGGTGCCTGTTTGAGCCACAGCAAATACCTCGCAGCTGTGACAGGAATGAGTGCAAACCTTTCCCTTGTCTTCCAAGACACCAACGGGGGAGGGGGACCCCGGCCTTGGTGGCCATCTGGGGAGTGACCCTGCCAAGGGAGCCGGCACTCACTCCCAGATGGAGAAGCTGTGACTTGGGCAGGGTGACCCAGGCACAGGCAGACCCCCGGCCTTCTCTGCTTTAAGCCTTCCATCTGCCATCCGGGTCTCTCACGTGGGTGCAGGGACCCCAAGCACTGACTGGACCATCACTGCTGCCCCCCAGGCCAAGAGTGGGGAAGTGGAGCAGCTGAGACTCAAACCGGTGCCCCTGTGGGATGCCAGCACCATCACAGGTGCCACTATACCATGGCACTGACCCCAAACTGCCAGCACGAGACCAAGTGTGTGGGGTCCTTTGACAGGTGGCCAGATGGCCAGGCACTGGAGCCCAAAGCCTGCTGACCCTCCCAGGCAAGGCTGTGTGATGGGTCACCCCTCCCTGCCAGGTACTCCCCCAGCCTGTTATTTATTTTTATTGCAAAGTCATAGAGAGGAAGGGAGACAAAAATATCTTCCCCAAGTGAGCAATTCACTCCCCAAGTGGGTGCAGCATCCCAAAATTTTGGGCCGCTGCCGGGACGCGAACCGGCGTCCATCTGGGATCCCGGTGTGTTCAGGGTGAGGGCTTTAGCCGCTAGGCCACGGTGTCGGCCCTCCCACCCACCCTTCTAGTGCGTCTGATGTTTCACTCCCCAAGTGGCTACAATGGCTAGAGTGTACTCAGCAGGGACCCAGGAGCTCGGGTTCTCTTCCATGTCTACCCACACGGGTGGGTTCATCTTCCATGTCTGCCCACACGGGTGCAGGGTCCCAAAATGTCGGGCCGTCCTTGGCTGCTTTCTCAGGCTGTGGGTGGGAACTCGGTGGTGGGTTCTCTTCCATGGAGGTGGTGGGAGCTGCCGGGGCGCGAACCGGCGTCCACATGGGATCCTAGCGCTTTCAGGGTGAGGGCTCTAACCGCTAGGCCACTGTGTCGGCCCACCCACCCTCCTGTTCTATCTGATAGTTGACTCTCCAAGTAACCGCGGGGCCCACAAAATTCTGAGCCATCCTGACCTGCTTTCCCAGGCTGCAGGCAGGGAGCTGGAGCTGCCGGGATGCGAACCGGCACCCACGTAGGCTCCGGCGCGGACTCTAACCGCTAGGCCACGGTGCCGGCCCTCCCGCCCCGTGTTTCGGGAGGAAGTTGCTCTAGGTTTTCTAGTGGCTTCATCAGCTCTGGGCTTTCTTGGAGGCCCAGGAGTCTCTGCCCCTTGGCTCCCATGGTCTGCCCACTGAGGCCACAAGTCCCCTTCCTCCTGGGGAACTGGCCGAGCCTCCCTGGGAGCCCACTTCCTGCTGGCCAGAGGGCCTTCCTGGACGAGGCATGAAGCATCCCGACCCTCGGGGAGGCTGGGTGCGGGCTGAGGTCGCCTTGCCGAGCTGGCCGCAGGCTCAGTCCTTCGCGGTCCCTCAGTGATGACTACCTGTCCCTGGAGGGGCCCCGCTGGTCGCCAGCCATCCAGCAAGCCACGCGCTGGAAGTCCACACCCATGGGGAGGGATGCGGCCGGCCAGCTGTGCTACACGGGCCTGACGAACCGCGGACCCCGCGAGGCCTGGCACATCCTGGCCGGGCTCCCAGAGAGCCCTTACCGAGAGGCCTACCACCGCTGGCACGAGTGCTTTGGGCACCGGCAACGAAGTCTGCCCGCAGGTGAGTGTGGCCCGCCCTGCCGCGGGGACGCCCCCGGCCCCACGCCACAGGGGCGAGCTTGACCTGCCCCCCGCCCCCTGCCCCCCGTGCCCGCAGCCTACACACAACACCTGCGGGAGACGGCCTGGCATGACCCCATCGTCCCCCCCCAGTATGAGAGTACCAACACCCGGTGGGGCAGCACGCTGTGGAAAGACAGGCCCACGCGGGGCAAGGAGTACGGTGAGGCTGGATGCATGCGTGCAGGGGCTACAGGGCACAGGGTCGGGGTGGGAGCAGGGCCAGGGCCACACGGGGTCGGGGTGGGAGCAAGGCCAGGGCCACACGGGGTTGGGGTGGGAGAGGGGCCAGCCGTGCGCTGACAGCTCCTTGGCCCCAGTCATCAACAGGAGCCGATTCGGGGCGGAGCCTCTGTGGCGGGCACCAGACTACGTGCCACACCTGTCGGCGCCCCAGCGGCCACCCTACACGACGCAGAGCTTCCGCCACTGGGGCCTGGGACACAGCCCCTCTACTGGCCAGCGGGCCCTGCCCACCTACATGCCCACTTTCTCATAAAAGTCCTGTTACCCAGCTGGCCCTGGAGCCCTGCGCCGCCCCGGGGGGCTGATGGTCAAGGCAAATCAGCAGGGCCCAGACACACCTGCCCGCCCCGTCCCCCAGGCACACAGGAGCCAGGCCCAGTTGGCACCAGCCAGCAGTTCTTTATTCACACAGCAGGGTCCTCAGAGGACTGGCTAGCCCCCGGCCACGCCCACGGCCACGTCCAGCTTTGCTGGGGCTCCTGGTGGGCCCAGTGGCCAAGGCCGACCTCAGGGGGACTCACTCCTGAGAGAGGGGTGCCAACACACACAGCCCCCGCAGGCAGCCTTGCGCAGACACCCTCATGATCCAGGGCAGCCCTGTGCCAGCGTGAGCTCCAGGGCCTCGCAGCCACTGCACGGAGGGCTCAGGGTCGCTCCTCCAGGTCCCCTGCAAGCCGGGCCGGAGGGGCTGTGAGGGGTGGGAGAGGGCCAGACCCCCACCCTCCCCATGGGGGGACCTGTCACTCCTGGACCCCTGCCCTCCCCATGGACCTGCCACTCACGGTGTCGCAGATGGATGGGCCACAGCATCAGGCTGCATAGGGCCAGGGCGGCCACGACACCCACGCCGCCGGTCACGGCCACCATCACCCAGTGGTAGAAGCCCACGCAGGCCTTACAGCACAGCTCAGAGCTGGGGGGACGGGAGGGCACTGGGTGGACACGCCCCGACGCCAGCCCAAAGCAGGGCCTGCAGTTCCCCCGGCCAGCGGAAGGCCCAGCACCCGCATGCCACAGCCTGGCCACCACCCAGCCTGAGCGCAGATCCCAGACCCTGCTACACCTACCCCCCCGGGGCATGCTCAGCCACCTCCCACAGGCCACCCCACACACGCAACACCCCACACACAAACGGGACATCTCCCACACGGGTCACCCAACACGGGTCACCCCACACATACATGGGCCACCCCACATGGGTCACCCCACACACGGCCACCCCACACACAGGTCACCCCACACACGCAACACCCCACACACAAACAGGACATCTCCCACACGGGTCACCCAACACGGGTCACCCCACAACATGGGTCACCCCACACAAGGATCACCAAACACGTGGATCACCCCACACACGGGTCACCCCACACACGGGTCACCGCACACAAGGGTCACCCCACACATACACGGGACCCCGCTGGCCCGGGCACTCACGGACAGGGGTGCAGGCTTTGGATGGCCATGACAGCCAGCCCGTTGGCCACCTTGTCCGAGAAGCTCATGGCGCCATACACGAAGGCTCCGCTGTGCTGGGGGAGCCGGGTGGGGGGTGCAGGGGTCAGCGCCCGTCCTTGCACACCCTGCACCCTCCGTGTGCACCCCTCACCCCTCCGTGCACACCCGAACCCTCCGTGCACACCCCACACTCTCCATGTGCAACCCACACCCTCCGTGCACACCCCACACTCCGTGCACCCCGCACCTTCCGTGCACCCCGCACCCTCCGTGCACACCCGCACCCTACCGTGT